TGGGGGCCATGCAAGCAACTTATAAAAGGGGCAAAGAAGTGGAAAATATGAAAGAGAGTCGATATGTTGAATCGGTTTAAAATAAAGTTCTTTTAGTGTCACTTTAACGAGTTGTAGTTTGGTGCGAAGGCTGGTGTTTCCTTCTGGTATTGTCGACTGTGTTGCTTACACAAAGTCTGGGAATATGCTAAATAAACGGTTTGCTACTTCAATTGATCATAAATAAAAGGATCAAGTTGTGAAAACAGTAGACCTTTGAATATTTCACTTGCTAAGTTGACACTCCATTTGTGCATGTTCCACTTATCGGCCCACAAATTGGATTTCATCGGTACTTTACGAAGAGTCTTGATTGTTGCCAAACCCAAAACATAAACTTCGACGTTCAAGCTTTGTAGTCCCTTAACAGTTTGGCCACTCTTTTATACCCATTTTGTGAATAATAATTCCTGGTACTGTTTTAAGGACTGCGATCCGACACCATCAATGAAAGAGACTCATGTTCTGGAGACTTGTATGAAAATAGGACAAAAGGTAGGCTTGCGTGGGTTAGTAGCAAGCGGTGGTACATGTTAGCCTGACTTTGTAAGGTAGTCATAAAGAAAATAAGAGAAATCAATAGGTGAAGAAGAGATACCAATGTGAAGGTGTTCCATTTAACATGATAGATAACAACATGCAAAGACATAGTAGTCAAAGGTTGCGGCTTTTGTCGTTGAAATCTCTGCTTGAAATACTTCTCTCATGACAGCTGATTGAGAAGAAAGTAAAAGAATAGGATATATTAGATGTAATATAGTTATGAGATTTTTCAAAGAATATTATCTACCCAAGTTGCAACAAGGCTTGTGTGTCGACTTAAAAAACGGGCTACCAAAGACCTTCACATGTAGATTATTCAATGAATTTGTTTGATCTCCTCATTTCTAACTTGATCAAATTGTCATGGCAATCTCCATGATTACATCTTGCTCGGCATCAGCTGCCGTGGTAGGCATGGTAAATTCAAGTTCCTAACCGTAGTCTGACATGAAGCTAAAACTCATCAATATCACTTTGTTTGTCCCCTTTGACAAGTGTTAAAAATGGCAAGAACTAATGAGGTTGACAACCACGAAGCGAGTGAAATGTCTGTGAATATACCGAATGTACATCAAAATGAGAATAAGTAATATATGAGGTGTATTCACTCTAATTTCTTAAAGGTGATAAGGGGATTAGTAGCAGAATTTTTCCACAAGCATATGAAGAGACCTTGATTTTCCATTGGATTTCAAATGGCCCTGATTTTTCCAAAATTATTCTCATCCAGAGTGGACTGCAGTTTTGACCTCACCTGAACTGTTAACCTCAGCACCCCAAACGGTACTCTAACCATAATAGTGCAGCGTATAATCTCAACACATTAAGCATTAAACTACATTTCGAGGAGCGCCTTTGGGTCACAGGACAGATGCGAATTTCAAGGAAGGCAACACATTTTCACATATCACGTTCGATAGGAGAATTTTCATTGGAGCGAAGTTGTATTTGCAGTAGTAATCGACTTTTTAGGACCATGAGTAACTCATATATATATATTTATTTATTTAAGGTAGTAATCTCGAAAACCTACTTATAAACGGAAAATAAGTAGTTTGATTGATTGTCATAGCAAATGCTACTTCTTTATTGACAACCCCACCAGAGGAAAGGCCCATCTTCTTAGAAATTTCTTTTTGCTCATTGATTAAGAGCATTAATGGCGTACTGATTGACGTGTCGAGATTATTCACTGTAATGCTCCAACCCAGGTTCGAGTCCCACCGAGGATGCTGATGAGATCAGTTTAGGTGATGTCGGAACTCACTCCTGTATGGATGAGAATAGGTTTTTCCAAGCAATTGTATGTGAAATTTAATAGAAACATAAATGTTGAAAAATTCAACTACAAGTCCTTCAGCATCTTTAACGAAACAGAGTGAACACAATATTTATTCAAGATTTACTGGCAGTCTCGAAGGCCCACTTAAAAACAATGATACCAAATCAACTAGCCACTACTGAAAATTATCGTGAATATTCAGCTAGAAGAAACCCTTACAAATAGTCGTCATGATGGCTCAGACAATAAGTAAAAAGCGCTGTCAAACCAATTCTATACAGCAAAAGGTGACTGTGACCAAAATAGAGATGAGCAGGCCTCACGAGACAATGTGGCAATGACATCACTCCACTAAACTGGAAAGGGTACAGTCTTATTCAAGATGTAATGTTAGTCTCACTACTCACTTTTTCTGAATATAAGTAGCGTATTCGATGGTAATGGCATCACCTTATGCGACCTCAGTAAGGCAGTGGCCTTACTCTTTCACACCCTCCAGGAGGCGATAGTATCAGTCATGTTGGTATACATGCTGTCATCACATGACCGGTTAGCACTGTTGAGTCTAGCCTTTAAGGATGTGGAAGAGACAGGGCTTGAATTATCTCGAAACTTGCCCATTTTCGAGCTGATTTTGACCGTTTTCTCTCCTCCACCACGACTCACTTTGGCAGACATACTCGGGCCTCTTCTGCGTGGCCGTCAATCCCTACAGACGCTTCCCCATCTACACTTCCCAAGTGGCCATGAAGTACAAGGGCAAGCGTCGCGGAGAGATGCCGCCTCACATCTTCTCAATTTCGGACAACGCCTATCACAACATGCTACAAGGTGAGCAGTTGCAAACGCTAATGTTTAGCAAATTCCATTTTGTATTGGACTTTCCGACTCGTAGAATATGCATAAATTGTCCAAAGAAGCTGTTGCATTATTCCCATATCCAACAAGTAAACCACTTTGTGAAGTGTTCAGCTGACTTTCATTGCGTTTTACCCATCTTTTTGCGTGCCATTTTCCTCGCGTAGTTCTAACGAAAACATATCATTCCATTGGAAAGTCAACAACATTCGAGCTGGAGACACTTTGTTACGACATTTGGTAGAGTTGGAAAGTATTTAACCTCATCGAAAATCGTTGGAGGAATTTCTTGGAGTTTTGAGGGATGGATTGTGTCAAGGAGACCTCGAAACTCCGTCAAACGCTTCTGTACCACGATGACAGACATATTTAGAGCCACAAATCGTCAATTACGCAAAATTGGCCAAAACACTAGACCAAGAAAGGTAGCCAGTTAAATCCTACGTACTTCTTATGCATAACATCACTATCTTGATGCGAACTTCCAAATCTGGGCTAGTTACTTCATGCCTAAAATCAACTCACAGAATTATATCGGCTCTTCGTATACTAACTTTCCAAAGTCTCATGAATTCCTCATTGAATACCTTCGGGCCTGGGAGCTTTGCTTCAACTGTATACAGATAAATCATGCTGTTTTATGCATCAAAGTTCCTGCATTATTGGCGATAAACCTAACTGTGGCACATTCCTTATGAACTTTGGGCAGAGCAAAAGCATTTAGTCATTTAGTATCTCTCTGAAAAATTGAATTTATTTTTTACTCCTACTGTGCTGAGCTAGCTACACATCGTATTTCAGTCTAACCTTCAGGTCTTCTATTGGCTACTCAATTCATAATCATAATGGCCTACAACATTTTCACCACATACATTTCCATAGTCATGACTAATACTGTTCCGATTTTATCTGCCATCAGCCCTATTTTAGTATTTTGCTCAATTTGCCTTAAGATCTTAGTGATACTCAATATTCCAATTCATTTAAACCCCCATTTACAATGACGATTTTATATTTATGAGTTGAGTAAACCCAACTTACCAATCCTCTTTCTGTCATATACATATATGCAGATAAATATATGTAAATATATAAACATATATAAGCCTTTACCAATATAAAAGTCAAAGGATGGGCCGTTTAAGCTTTCTTTACTCATCAGAATCAAGTTTTGTAGAAAAGTATGGATGAAAGTCTAATTTGGTATGAAGGCTGGATGACTACCATCAAAAGAAAACTTAACAAAATGATCGAATAGTGCTGAGAGCAGATGAATTAAAAAATATATAATTATATATATAATGTTTGCTTATAATGGTAGTGACTGTCACGATACAAATCCTTTAATTGCAATATACATATAATTATATATATATATGCATTTGTATTAAAAAATATATATTTAAATACATATATAGCAAAAATTTATGTATTTGTATATGTTTATATATATATGCGCATACATATTCCAGATAGAGGATAAGCCCGTTTAGTAATATTCACTCGCATCTATGAAGGCGTCGTAGGAAATTGTTGACAGGTTTTCATTCGTAC